AGCGAACTTGCCCTTTGACCTTTTTTGTTTGGATATCCATGGATCTCCCTGATCTCCGTGTTTCCCTTTAAGTATCCTCGAGGTGAGAGATCCGAATAAGCCGGGAAGGTGCGGTGGCGGGTGGGAGGGCATGTTCGCCAGGAGCGACCGTTTAAGAATACAATAGTTTAACAATTAATATATATATATAGAATAACAATGATAGAATAACAATAGTCTACCAATATAGCAATAGAGTTTCCCAAGCACATGATATTTTAACAATCAATCCACGGTACGTTAATGATGATGCTGCCCAAAAAAACGTACATGCATGTGAAACTGTGCAAAGGCCCCGGTCAGGATCTCCGCTCCAAATGGGGCCCAGTTGCAGGTTTTCCAAGTGGTTCCTTCCAATACACATATTTTAACAATAATATAGTGTACACACAGATATATGTATATATGGTATATATATATAGTATAATATTGTGTATGTATATGTATATGTATATGTATATGTATACGTATACGTATACGTATTTGTATTGTAGGGATTCGCACACCGCTGATACCCCAAGGGTGGCTGTTGTTGCCCAGAATGTCGCCCGCATGCTCGGTTGCTGCTGTTGTTTTCAATCATGGCACTGGACTATTTTCCGATTAAGCTGCAAATTTTAATGGGGACTTATCATGTTTGATTCCCGGAGGCTGCAGTTAAAAAAATGCTGCAACATTACATGTTGTTGCCTTGAAAAGGGGTCAATTTCGCCATGCCACCAGTTGTTTGTTGCGAATCTCCAGATTCGAAAAATGCTGCCACTGTCAGGTCTGAGATCTGTATGCTGGGAGCGAACTGTTACAATTCGCGGGACTTGCGGTCTGGCGAAGGGTGCGGCTGTGTTCCCTGTTTCTCATGTTGGTAGATGGGTCAAAACCTGCGAGAGCATATATAGATATATTTATCTATTTATTTGTTGATTAGTCATTTTTTTTAAATTTATTCTGTTTATTTATTTATTTACTTACTTATTAATCTATTTATTTAATTAGTTATTTATTTACTCATTAATTATATATATATGTTTTAAGGACACACATTGCAACCACGGTTAAACAGACATCTATAAGTTTTGGTGTGAACAGCAGTGTAGCACGGAATTGTCCATGGTATTGTATATGCCTTGTTTTTGCTTGTGACATATCTTCACTGTTCTTTGTTGCACCCCTTTCATCCTCAAATTGTTGATGAACATATCAACACTTCGACTTGCAAACATCTTCGAGTTGAAACAAACTGTTGTGTTCGGCATCCGCAGATGTTTCCCAGTTTTTAGTTGATGGAGTTTCACCCATCCAAGTATATATTGAATTGTGAAATCCGTTGGGAAAATGGTCTAGATTTTCATGATGGTGAGTTCCATACCAACTTCTCATTCTGTGAATTTACTGGAGGATACACCTTCCACAGTAGGGATGCAACCAGGAGTTTGTTTTGGGAAGGAAACAGACCTTTTGACAGGAGAAAAGGTTAGTTTTTCTGGTTGAAACAAACGTTTATAGACGACAGAAAAGGTTGGTTTTACAAGCCGAAACAAACGTTTTGGCGCTGCCCAAGTTTTTGCCTGAAAACAATGGAAAGAGAAAGCACAGGTTTTCCTCCCAAAACCAAGGTTTCCCTTTCGAAAAAAGTAAGTTTCGGGGCTCGAAACAAATTTGTTTTGGGTTGAAACAACTAACTGCCACCCTGCCAAATTGAAAGGTTTGTTTTTCATGGGCATGGAAAACTTTTGTTTCGAACAAACGTGTTGTCTGAAAAACTTTAGTTTTCAAACGTTAGTTTCCAGGCGATGAAATTCCGTGAAACGAGCCGCGTTGGTTGTTGACCTCCACCCAATTGTAGCCAGTATTGTCATCTCGCTTGTGCCTTTTTTCTTGTTCCTTTCCTTTGCATTTTTCTTGTGTTGCCTCTTGTCGATGTTGCTATTGCTTTTTGCTGTTGCTGTTGTTGTTGGTTGGTTGGTTGGTTGGTTGGGTGGTTGGGTGGTTGGGTGGTTGGGTGGTTGGGTGGTTGGGTGGTTGGGTGGTTGGGTGGTTGGGTGGTGGTCGGAAGGTTGTTGTTGTCGTTGTCGTTGTCGTTGTCGTTGTCGTTGTGGTTGTGGTTGTGGTTGTGGTTGTGGTTGTGGTTGTGGTTGTTGTTGTTGTTGTTGTTGTGGTTGTGTCTAACAAACTTGGGTGGATTGGCAACGCTTTACTCAAATAAGGCTTCATTCCAAAAATGTTCCGTAACGATACCTGCATTGAATTCCAACACTATTTGCATAGCACGAAAGTCTTACACTAGCGACATTTCCTGAATGCAAGATCCAGCCGGTCCATATACCAGGCCGGAATGCCTGGAAACACATCAACGCACCATCTAATTTCAAATCGCATTTGCCGGCTTTCGAACCTACAAAAAAACATCAACCAAGCGACCGCAACTATTGGCTACGGTTTTCGGCCGCTGCAGCGAAAACCGTTTCGGAATGGTGCATCCTTGGCTATCATAAGTTGACCGCCAGCGTCGCTTTGCATTTTTGCCGGCAAAGCGGTGTTTCGCGGTGGCTGAGGAAACAAGCTTACTCCACACTTGCGCTCGAAAAACCCTAGTTTCGGAAACTTGCAACTAGATCAACTAGAGTTTCGAAACTTTGGTTTTCCTGGCCGGTCATTGTTCCGGCCGGAGCACAAACCTTTTCTGGCTCAAAACCTTTGTTTCCGGACCCGGAACCTATCCTTTTCCCAGGGCTCGGAAACGTTTGTTTCTCAGCCGGAAACAAATCTTTTTCCCAGAGTTAGTTTGTTTCCCCCGCCGCCCCCCCCCCAAGCCAGCCAATCCCCGGGTTTCGAAACAAACATTTTCCATCATTTTCCACTTGAAAAGTAACCTTTTAAACTTGACTTTGAAACATGCTGGCCGCATCCATACTCACCTTCCAGTATCTTCCAGTAATCAAATGTGGTTTGCTCTTAAATCCCCTATTTACTTTGATGATTTCAGTAGGATTTCCCCAGCACCTCCATGGCTTGTTGTGGGATTTCTGCCATGTGTAGCATGTCCTTGGGGATGGTCACTTGTCAGGAGCAAAAGGTCCATGTCTTTCCAGTCTTAGATCCGAGTCAGGTGTGGCCGATGGTAGCTGCTATGGGAGACTTGGGAGCCGACTGAAAAGACGATGATTTTCATGAAACAATCATAGAGTCATGAGTTTTGCTGGAGAGTTCATTGGATTTTCGGTTGTGAAACTAAGGAGTTGCTGAATCGAGCTAGAAGATTCTGCAATTCAAATGTTCGAAAGGCACACTTCGGACAAATTGATATTTTCTGTGGAGCGCATTTCGTTTGGGCGCCAGGGGTAGCGGACTCTTTCCGTTGCTGTCCCTTTTGCGGGATGATTTTGCCTTGATTTTGCCGCAGGAAAAGGTGGTCTTCCTGAGCAATTGCAACGTCTTCCGACGAGACACTGGGACTGCAGTGGCTTCGAAACGTCACCAGATTGGGCTTTGCAAAAACCTAAAACTTTGAGACACTGCATGTGGGTTGTGGGGTTACCAGCGGTTAGCAGCTTTGAACGACTCGTTTCTGTGTTTTTTTTGGCCTCATGGGTGAATCCCCAAACCCGAATGGCAACTGGATTTAGGATTTAGGGGTCGAATGTAAGGTCTACTATCATTTCAACTACTGTAATAATATAAATCCCATAAGAACTCAGAAAATATCTTGTGGCTTTTCATCCAATTTCACCATGGTGTCATTTTTTTGGATTCAAAAAACGCGATCTAGATTCCACCATATTAGTGTATATATATAATTATATATATATCTGCAATGTCATGTCATGTCATGTCATGTATAGTGAATACAGTACACGCTATGTGTTTTTTGTCAACCAATCCCCAACCTTGGAACAGCGACGCGACTCTCACCGTGGACCACCAAGGGCTGAGTGGTGAAAGCGGACGACTTTGGCCCAGCGGGCGGGTCAAAAAAGTGCTGTTATGGAGATATAATAGGGATACAATGGGATTTATTTATATGATATATATATATATATTATATTTATAATGGGTTACAAACAAACATGATTAGTTTCCAATTCACTCGATCATTGGTTTTGCTCAAAAACAACTGCTCATTTTCAGCTTCTGCCTTTGGACAGTTCGCCAGACGCACGATGCCCGGAGTTGGCTTGTTCACCTTGTTTGGGCATATCTGGAGCGGCTCTACAGGTCATTCTTCCTATTCGCCCGTCCAATTTCAGGCTTTCAAATTGGTTCCACTGGAGTTCAAAAAATGGATTCCTGTGAAGCAACACAAATTGGCTGATGATTGGTCTTGTTTACCGAATTCCTGACCTTTTGAAGAAGTTTGAGCCGCCAGCTGGTGAATTTCTAGGAAACCATGGGGCTGGGGGTATTAGGCTTCAATGGTTTTTCCGGTCATCACAAACCACCAACTTGAAATCCCTATATAACAGTAGCAACTCAGTAGTAGGTTAGTAGGTTTCGGATGACAGAAGGTAAACTGCAATTGTTACGAAAAAATGCAGAACCACCTCAGGTTTTGATGGCAGTCTGCCACGGTTTTTCGGGGACACGACGGCCAGTTGTGTGGTGCCCTCGGTGTTCGCTGTATCCCGCTGAGAGCCGTTACTTTTTCAAAAGGCATCTGGTCTTCATGGTCTGACTTGAACCAAGTGCCTTGACCACCCGGCCAAAACGAAGCTTCTATGTCGACAGGGGAAACCACATATAAACATTAAGCTCAACAATCCGCAGATGACACTCTGAGTATTCACAAATTTTAAATGATTATTAAAAAATATCATTTTGCAGATGATATTTACATGCTGCATGTCCTGCATGTAGATATTTGTGTAGATATTTGTAGATGAAATCTGCTGAAATCCTGGGGCACTGCTGAAATCTGCTGAAGGGTGACGACTCTCCGACGCCCTTAGCGGGCGGCCCGGTGGGAGATGGCGCGCTGGCGCTTACGCTTGGAGGATTTTGGACGGCGCCAGGAGAGTTTCCCACGGGCCCCAAAACTGCCCGCGTCTGTAAAATATCGGCAAGCTCCACATCTCGTGGTATTCTAGTTTAAACCTCATTTCCCCCATTCAAACAACCATAATTTTTTTCAGAAAGGGGTGTTGTGAGCGCTAAAAAAAACGAAATTTTGGGGATATATAGCCTTGATACTATGGATGGTTTCATGTTTTTTGCGCTCACAACAGCCTGTGTGAGTAGGACGAATCATCCAATATACTAAGCAACCAATGTCTGCTGTCTGCTGCCTAACCCGAACTACAAAATCCTCCAACCCGAACTGCGCAATCGTCTAACCCGAACTGCAAAATTGTCGTCTTCGCAGTGCTTAGTCCTGCGAAGATTCGCGGATTGACTCGTGACTTCTTCCTTTCGACTGGAGCGAACCAAAAAAACCAAAAAAACAAAAGAACAAAAAAAACAAAAAAAACAAAAAAAACAAAAAAACCAAAAAAAACAATGTTTCCACAACTACTCTGATGTCTGGACTAGTTGCCAAATCTTTGTTTTTTTTGTTTTTTTTGTTTTTTTCGAAGTTTTGCATCCCAGGATTAGTCCAGATTAATCCACATCAATTCTGCTTCATCCCTTCTCTAACGCATCCCAAACAATGAACTACTTTTGCTTTTAGGAGCTCTCACTAAAGGATAGGTCCTGGCATTGCTGTTATCCCTAATTACTCTCATTCGCGTGTAGACTGTGTGTTCCAATTTCGAAATGTTCGGCCATGTCCTAGATAATAACCTTAGTTTCATGCTATATTTTTTTGAAAAAACATGTTGCATAAATTGATGGCACACTTTGCTGAAGTAATACGACCATCTTCTCAAGCATTATTGCATCATCGATGGAATCTGCTGTAGACTCATGTTACACTTTCTTGGAGGGATGCTACACAGATTTGCCAAGAAACTATTCACTTTTAAAACTACATATGCGTACATAGACACACATGTGTATATATATATCTATACATACACATACATATGTGCATTCTCAAAGGAAGGCTTCCCTTGATTGACACAGGTTTTGCACAGTTTGCAGTCATTTGACATTTTTTTCGAGCAAATGCTGCACTAGTTTGAAAGAGATATTGTAGGTAGTTGTGCTACTGCACTCTTTTCATAGGCATGTAGCACTTGCTTACATTGCCGTGATTATATTTGAATAAGTTTGCATTAAGATTTATAATCTATAATTACAATTTGTTGCGCATTGTTTGAAGCCATATTCTACTTTGTTCACAAAGAAAAGATATTGCACATTGTGAAGACCTTTTGAAAGTCGAGTCACATAGCACCCTTTTCAAAACAAAACAACATTTCCATAGAACAGTTGTACTCTTTGAAAGGATGTGCTGCAGAAGATGGTGCAATACTTGCTTTACAACAAAAAAACACATATTTTAAAAACAGGCTTTTGCATCATCAATGGAATCTAGAGTAGGCTCTTGCTACACTTCCTTACAATAATGTTGCCCACTTTGCAAACAAGAATCTGCACTTTCAAAGGTAAAACACATGTTTCAATGTGTCAGTAAGATGGCACTCTTTTCAAAACCATGCTGTAGCAATTCAAGAATAGGTTCAATCTCGCAAAACAGCATACTACATTTTTCCTACAGGAATGTTATGATTTCTGAAATCACTCAGTACATACATAGGAGGGTTCTCCTTGAAATTGGGAAGTAATGCTACACATCTTTCAAAGAATGCAACAATGCTTGCAAAAGGTTGTTGCATACATGGAGGAATGGTGTTCTTTATGCACAGTCTTTTTACAAGTGATGTTTGCATGTTTATTTTCCTTCATTATTTATAGAGAACATATTGCATAAATTGGTGCCTGCTTAAAATGCACATTTTTTTAATGCTACTTATCTTTCAAACAATGCCACACTTTTTGCAAAGGGACTGTTACATTGAGGAATGGCGTTCTTTATGCAAAATTATTTTACAAGTTCTGAAATCACTCAGTACATACATAGGAGGGTTCTCCTTGAAATTGGGAAGTAATGCTACACATCTTTCAAAGAATGCAACAATGCTTGCAAAAGGTTGTTGCATACATGGAGGAATGGTGTTCTTTATGCACAGTCTTTTTACAAGTGATGTTTGCATGTTTATTTTCCTTCATTATTTATAGAGAACATATTGCATAAATTGGTGCCTGCTTAAAATGCACGCTTTTTAAATGCTACTTATCTTTCAAACAATGCCACACTTTTTGCAAAGGGACTGTTACATTGAGGAATGGCGTTCTTTATGCAAAATTATTTTACAAGTGCAGTTTGCAAATGCATTTCCTTCATTGTTTATAGAGAACATATTGCATAAATTGGTACCTGTTTAGAATGCACCTGTCCAAAAGAAATATTGCATATGTTGAGGGAAACTCCTGTAGAGATGTAGAGTCTATACATTTTTAAAGCAATGCTGCACTCTTTGGAAAGGCACTTACACTTGTTTGTTTTGTTGTTTTTATCTGTTATTCATGTTTGCTTTGGCTGAAACTATGTATCTATGTTGGACATTGGGAGAGCTGTTGAGAATGCACAGTGGTTGCTTTTGTTACAGAAGCAACAATGTTTGGTTCTGGAAAGAACAGGGTTTGGTATCTTTTGCAGAAATGACATGTCAAAAATGCAAACATTTTGGCGCTCACAACACCCCCCTCCCAATTTTTTTCGGGTGTATACCCCATTGAAATCCCGATTTGTTGATTGTTAAATCAAATTCTTTGTCTAAAATTGTCCAACATTTTCTCACATAGCAAGCCCAAAAAAGATAGATTATCAGATAGATCTTCAAAACCCGAATTCCATCTAAAGGACTGGTTCCACATGTTCCTTTTCTGCATCTCTTTGGAGGGTCTATATAAAGATTGCAGAACTTGGGGTATACACGCATTGTTATGTGCAAATCAAAATCCCATCAAAAATCGCCCAAGATGTTCGAATTTCAAAATTGCCATAGATGCCATAGATTTCTCATAACTTGGTGCCATGATTTGACGTAATTTTGGCTTCAGAACTTGGTGAACTCGCTGAAGCGTCCGCGATTTTTGGGCACAGGAGGGCTTGTCGCAGATCAGCGAAGCATGGCACCAGCCACGCTGGGCGGCCAAAGCCAAGGGACTCAAAGGTGCGAACCCCATTGGTTGATGATAATCGATTCTAAGTTCTAAGAGTGATAATCAAGTTGGGATCTAACCATCAAAAAATGGGTTAAAGCAGCATCTCAAATTCATGGGGATGACATTATGATAGATATCAAATATGAACTGTGCCCATACTATGCACAGAATAAACAGTCTTATGATAGTGCATATGATTGTATCATGATAGACTATACCCATAGAGTATAACTTGCACCAATCATAAGAGTGATTTAATGGGGATTTAACCATTTAGCCATCAGGTTGTAGGGGCTTGAAAGGTTTTAACCATCCAAATTATATTCTGATAGACTAAGTTTTTTTAGCGAGACATATCATTGAAATAAGTGGTGGTTGGTTGGTGATTGCTCTGGGATTGTACAACCCTTTATATTTATATATTGGGGATGATCATAATTCGCTGGGAATCCCGCTACCAAGCCATTTCGTGTTAGTCATGGTGAGGTGGACAGAAGGGGATTCCACCGGTTGTGATGGTCATGCAGCATGGTTATGAGAGCTACATGCCAACTGATCATTGGTTAGTGGCCGTGCATACCATCTTAGTTGATCCAGTGATGTTTTCGGAATCTTGCCAGGTAGACTAATGGGTTATAGTTAGATTCATGGGATATTAACCACTTCCGGAGGGATGCACAAGCGGTTTGACCAACGGTTTTGTGGCCAGGAGCCATGGTTAGCGGTGATTCGGGTCGAATTTGGGGATGTTTTTCACCGGCCTTCAACGATGCGGACTCAAGAGCTATCCCTATTCTCCCTGTACTCTTATCACCACACACCGATGTCGTTGGAGCACACCGATGTCGGAAGTCGAAGCTGCAATTCCCACGGCTGCCTCTGCCAGGCGATGAGGACCGACCCCTCAGCAGCATGTCCACGCGCTGCCCCTCCCGCACCACCGGCACCGTGGCCTCCACGCCGTGCCCCTCGACGCCCCGTGGCGTTCTGTCGCCCACACCGCGGCTGTCGCCCACGCCGGGGATGTCACCGCGCACGCCCAGCCCGACAAGTTTGCCGCAGGCGCGGGCACCTGGGGTCTGGAAATGATAGATGTGGAGGTTTCCTAAGTCAGGATATTATAGCTGGATGGTTTATTTCATGGAAAATCCATGAAATTCCTATAAAAATGGAAGATTTGGAGGTACCCTCATTTTGGGAAACCTCCATGTGGCGGCGCCGATTTTTTTTTGGTTTATCATCATTTTTTCCAGATAACATGGCCATCAAAGTGATAAATTTCGCCCATTTTCAGACAGCCATTTGGCATGATCAGCAACTGGATTTTGTCCTTAACCCAACCATCAGTAAGATCACCCTTGTAAAAGACATTTTAGTCCCGGCCGTCCTGGCACCAAAGAATGAAAAAGGCGCAGACTTTTTTTGACGACGCTTAAACAACATGTGTGCCAGGCACAACCATTTGGTTATATAATTCTCAAAATGAGGTACACACCAAAATCATTCTTCTTATATTTTTCCACTTAAAGACTTAAAGTGTAATTTGTGGGTATACCGGTATACCCTATAAGCTACGTAGGTATACCGGTATACCCCATTTCTGGCCAAACCCAGTGATTGTTTCAAGAGCCCACGACTTGACCATCACGTCTTCCCATCTTTGATTTTGCTTGAATGATTTCCGACATCTTTCCCATCTTCTGTTCCCAGTCTTTTCCGGATTCATTCCCATTTGTTCCCATTAATAAAGGATGAAGGGAGAACCTATGGCAAAGCCCTATATAAAATGGTAAAAACCTGGTTTCAACCGTAAGATTTCCACTAAAAGAAATCGATGGGTTATACACTGAATCTGTTTGGTTCCGGTGCGGTTCCAGTTACAAATGGTTATATAATATAGTCAATCATAGTTATTTGGGGCCCCATCTCCATGGTGGTTCAATCACCTCAACCGGAGCCGCCCTTGGCAGGGCCTTTCCAGCCCTCCACCGCCAAGTGTGCGGGTAGGTCTGGAGCCCAGGACCCTGGAAATTGCTGGGGATCTATAAGAACCATGTAAGAAAAAGTGCGGAGATTTTTTTCCTGGTTGTTTTTCCAATATTTTTTTTCACTGAAATGATGTTTGTTGGTTGAAACACCCACAAAAAACACCAGTTCGATATACAAACCCAAGAGTCACGATGCATCCGATGGACGAGGTGGGAGAAGCATCCCCAAATTGACCAAATGGGCCAAATGGGGTACCCAATTTTTCAGAGAAATCCACATGGCCTAACTTTTCAGGTTACCCTCTGGCAAACTAACAGTTCGCTATAGAAAATCACCATCTTTAAGAACGGTAAATCAACGAAGTAAACGGGTCATTTTCAATAGCGAACTGTTAGTTTACCAGGTTAGTTCCCTGAAATCCAGATCTGTGGATTGAATCTGTGTGGTACACCCAGTGAATGGCGTTGACTTTGCCCACATTCTGCCGCGTTTTTTTGAGGCTGATCCTCCTCTACACATATGTATGTATATATATATAATATACATATGTATAACATATATATATATATTTGGTGGATTAGCCCTTCATCATACATCAATATATCTATAGATACAGTGATGTTTTAGCAGCGTTTAGCACCATCACGATACGTATTAATTTATATACTGTATACAAATATATACACATGTTCAACATGTATATATATATACATATGCACGTGGAACCCAAATGACCTCTATTTTTGTTGGTTCACCCCTCCACTTTATGGTAAACGCAAGACCTTGAAAGTAAGAGTCATTGGGGTTCCGGGGACATTCGTTGGCACGCCCCAGTGTTTGTTGGTTTCAACTCCCAGTTCGATATATCTACCATAAACCAGCCAGTTTCAGCTATAAATTCCCAATCACCGCCCAGTTATATTAATGTATGAGCTGTATAATCCATTAATATCCATTATAGATATAAGATAATATAAGGATATTAGGGATTATATAATCATTAGATAATCAATTACAGTATGACTTCTAATCCCATCCAATTTTTTTCATCCCCATGGCCCGCCATGGCCTCTGCCTCTTTTCAGGCGGCGAGCTCTGGGCGGCACCGCGGCGCACCGAGAAGCGGCGCAACTCCGAGGGCGGCAAAGGCGATTTTTTCGACGGTGTCGTTGTTTTTCAACAGGAACTTACAAACATGGTATGTTAGAATGGTTTATATATATGGGTGTGTCTGAAAATAGAGAAAACCCCTAAACCCAATGGTTTTGCTGATCATTATCCCTATTAAATGGTTATTTCATTGGGAATATACCCTATTTTCAGACAAACCCACATGTCTGAAATTCTCTGAATTTTCCAATTAGACCATTCTAACATTATTCTAACTCCATGTTTTTTTGGATTGTTTTTTGATGTGTTTTTGACATGAAGCCTTTGGTTAAGAATTGGTGGAGAGTCCACTTGTGAAACCTGGCTTCATTGGGTTCCTAAAATGGGGTACTAATGGACCCAACTAGTAATTTTTCAGCTTTTTTTTTTTGCATGTCATTTTGAACCGTTTCAAAATAAAACCGTGACAGCGTTTTTTTCTCTAACGCTAGGCTTACTTTGGGGATGAGAAGTGGAAAGCAACTGGAAAACAATGACTAGCCGGGGATACTTCAGTTTTGACCTGTGCGGGGCCCATGTCCCAGGTATATGATTTATGAAGTGGTCATCACTTGTGACTCGCTGCAACACGAAAAGCGTAGTATGAAAACTCAAGCACTTACCCTTTTGTCATTTAAGATGGCTATGAAAATCAGGATTTTTAGTAGGTAGATCATGTAAAGTGGACCATTTTTCATAGATTTGTTCAATTACCAGAGGGTAGTCCTGTCAGTTTCTAGTGGCGAGAATTTCGGCCAATCAGGGGTAAACTGGGGCAATAAGCATGCTAAGTGACTCAGGCACAACCTCAGCTAGAGGGGCTGTGGTTCCCTATACTCATCCTTCTTCAACTGCCACAGGCGATCTGCCGCTCACCTACAGTTTGATGCCCGAAACCCTCGGGGTAGGCTGGACGTGACTGGAACCGGGGCCCAAGTTCCCAGTTGGCTGATCCAAGCAGCTCGACCAACTCCTCCACATTGTAGTTGATCTACCTGTTGAAAAACCAGGGGTACCCCCAGTTCTCATCCAAGTCATGGATGACCATTTTGGTCTTGAAACCTGTGACTTGGGGATCCCCAAAAAATAGGACCCCCCCCCAGGGAGGAACTTGGCGAATTGCTGCAGGGAACCTGCTGCCGAGCTACGAGCTCTGGGTAACGCTACATGGAGGAAACGGCCGGTGGCAGCAGGCGAGGACGACCGGAGGGTCCGTCCAAATGGTGGTCCTCTGAGTTTCCAGATCCCGGGGTCCAAGTTTTCCGTACTTCCGGACCCAGGTGCGGGCGCAACACCACTGGGCCCAGATGCTGGTGGAAAATGAGGTGCGACCTTGGAGCCAATAGTTCTCATGATAGTAACCCTAAGATAGAATGGCAATTCATCACTATATTAGCAGGATGTTTCATTGGCTATCTTTGTGGGGATTACGATGGATGCAATGTGATGTATATACTGTATGTATGGTAATGTAATGTAATGCAATGGAATGTAATGTAATGTAATGTAATGGAATGTAATGTAGTGTAATGGAATGTAATGTATATATATATATAGATTACAATTACTTATATTACAATCTTACTAGTTCGTATGATATTTTATTTCATTCGACATAATCATGATGGGATGACCCAGCTGGATGCTCCACCTAGCAGCCATGGTGGATTTTCCATGGCGAACTGTGAATGTCATAACCAGATGGTACTAGGGAAAACTAGTTGCCATTCTAAAACCATACCAAACACAATGGAACAGACTTTTTCCCCCCCCTTTTCATATCAGGTGGGTTAAGTCCAGCCCAGGAGGCAGAGGTGATTCGCAAGCAGGAGGCCGAAAAGCAGCGCCTGCGTCGCGCTGAGGCGCGTGAAACCACCAGGGCTTTCGCGAGTTTCACCACCGGTTTCACGGGTTTCACCAGGAATGGTGAGAACGAAGGCAACTAACGATAGAAAAATGTGGATTCCAAGACATGGAATCCACCAGAGATGTGTTGGTTGATTTGGCTTTTCTGTTTTTTGTTGGTTGTTGGGGATTATCAGATGTTTTTTTTTGTCTTTTGTGTTTTTTGAATGTTCATGTTTTGTTTTTTTCTCTGAATTGAATATGTTTAACATTGTTTAACCAAGGAAAGCATATGAAGGGCTTGCCCCTCCAAAAGTTACACAAACAATTGCCAACAATCAAATCGTTGATGTGGCAGTAATTGGCCAAGAATTACACCCAGCCATATGGCTGCTTGTGGAATGACCTCCCGTGACCTATGCTGCAGTTGAAAGCTGTCCAGACTGGAAATGTTGAAGCATCATGGAGTGTGTAGCATTGATTACATTGATTGTCAGTGCAAAGGTTTGGTGTGCATATCTGCATATGTATAATGTATATACAGTTTTGGCATATCCGTCGTGACATTGTTTCTCCATGTTTTACCCATGCTGATTATGATATATATACATATGCTACATTAGATATGTACCCATTATATTCACACATATTTGCTATAAATTACATAACTTGTTTGCTCTCCACTTAACCTTCGATCTTGTAGCGATGGAGGTTTGTTTCCTAACGTCGGGCGAGACCCTCATAGTCCTTGAAGATGAACTGCAAGGCCAAACAGCCAAGACAGTGAAGAAAGCCTTGGCAGCCAAGGTTGGCATTTCCAGATTCAAGCAAAGGCTTTTTGTTGGAGATGGTTCGCATGAGATCGAGGATGATGAAGTTCTTGATCCGGCTCGAGTGAAGATCCAGCTGGTGGTCTTGGAATTCTGGCCAACTGATGATGAAGAAACGCAGAAAATGATCTCTGCATGTAGGGAGAACAACTTCGTTGCTCTTGAACAGTTGCTGCAACACCCACGAAATCCCAATGACGCAAGCAAGGATGGCAAGACGCCCTTGTTTTACGCTGCTGGGCAGGGACATGTTCGACTTATGGAACTCTTACTGGAGGCAGGAGCAAAAACAGATCAACCAGACTTTGCCAGAGGGCGGACACCATTGTTTATTGCAGCCCGCGACGATCACCTAGACACCGTCCGCTTTCTAGTCGAAGCTGGTGCAGCCAGAGATCAAGCAGATAATGATGGTGCAACGCCCTTGTTGTTTGCAGCTCACAATGGACACCTCGACATTGTGCGGTTTCTAGTCGAAGTTGGTGCAGCCAAAGATCAAGCGGCAAACGATGGTGCAACGCCCTTGTTGGTTGCAGCTCAAAATGGACACCTCGACATAGTGCGGTTTCTAGTCGAAGTTGGTGCAGCCAAAGATCAAGCGGCAAACGATGGTGCAACGCCCTTGTTGGTTGCAGCTCACAATGGACACCTCGACATTGTGCGGTTTCTAGTCGAAGTTGGTGCAGCCAAAGATCAAGCAGATAATGATGGTGCAACGCCCTTGTTGTTTGCAGCTCAAAATGGACACCTCGACATAGTGCGGTTTCTAGTCGAAGTTGGCGCAGCCAAGGATCAAGCAGATAATGATGGTACAACGCCCTTGTTGGTTGCAGCTCAACATGGACACCTCGACATTGTGCGGTTTCTAGTCGAAGCTGGTGCAGCCAAAGATCAAGCGGCAAACAATGGTGCAACGCCCTTGTTGGTTGCAGCTCACAATGGAGACCTCGACATTGTGCGGTTTCTAGTCGAAGTTGGTGCAGCCAAAGATCAAGCGGCAAACAATGGTGCAACGCCCTTGTTGTTTGCAGCTCAAAATGGACACCTCGACATTGTGCGCTTTCTGGTCGAAGTTGGCGCAGCCAAGGATCAAGCGGCAAACGATGGTGCGCCCTTGTTGGTTGCAGCTCAAAATGGACACCTCGACATTGTGCGCTTTCTAGTCGAAGTTGGTGCAGCCAAAGATCAAGCGGCAAACGATGGTGCAACGCCCTTGTTGTTTGCAGCTCAAAATGGACACCTCCACATTGTTCGCTTTCTAGTCGAAGTTGGTGCAGCCAAAGATCAAGCAGATAATGATGGTGCAACGCCCTTGTTGGTTGCAGCTCAACATGGACACCTCGACATTGTGCGGTTTCTAGTCGAAGTTGGTGCAGCCAAAGATCAAGCGGCAAACAATGGTGCAACGCCCTTGTTGTTTGCAGCTCAAAATGGACACCTCGACATTGTGCGGTTTCTAGTCGAAGTTGGTGCAGCCAAAGATCAAGCAGATAATGATGCTACAACGCCCTTGTTGGTTGCAGCTCACAATGGAGACCTCGACATTGTGCGGTTTCTAGTCGAAGTTGGCGCAGCCAAGGATCAAGCTGATAATGATGGTACAACGCCCTTGTTGGTTGCAGCTCAAAATGGTGACTCTGATATTGTCTTTTTTTAATCAATGTTGGTACAGCTCAAGATCAAGCGGCAAACGCTGGTTCAACGCCAACGCCCTTGCTGGCTGCTCAAAATGGCCACCATTTTGTAGAATTTCCTAGCTGGAAGTTGGTGCAGTTGCAACTGGAACGGGAACATAGTTCCCAGCTTCAGATTTCCCGAATTGGATTGGAACATCTGAAAGAAACCCATAGCTCTGACATGGGAACGAAGAATTGGGCTGCATCAAGGCCATTAAATGGCACTTATCCGTGATTCTACAACAATAAGACTAGATTATATAGATCTAATTTAATGATTATATAATATAGATTAGATTATATATATATATATATTATATATACAGTATTGCTCAAGCAGTACATAGGCATGCAGTATACACTGTAACTCATGCCCAGACATTGACTCTCCTGCCTTAGTGAATACCAAATTCGTAGCTCAGGTGTCATCAGTCCGGTGGCAGTTTGGTCCGCCGTGGCGGAAAAGTTGCGACGCGCTTCTTTTGTGTTGTCAGCTGGGTAAACCGGGAAACCTCAGTGAATTAAGGCATCAGTAGATAAGAGAAGTCACAGATCCTGCGAAAATGGTGCCATAAACCAACCATTTGGATCCCAAAAAGGGGGGTCCTTTCACATGATCCAAATAGGAGCAGACTTATGTGCCTTGTTTACAGACAAACCCAAATTTGTGCCAGCGCAAGAAAATTTAAACTCGCAGGTTGCGAGATGATCCCTATCCCTTCTTTCTTTGGCTGATGGTATGTATATCTTTTTTAAATGCAAATGTTGGAAGGAGCCCAGTTCCAACCAACCCGTTGTGGATCATTTTACACCATCCGGTGAAAAAAACCGATCCCGCTGCAAACTAGGGCCTGGGGCCAAAAGTCAAAGACAACAAAGTGGAGATGGTTTATGGCTTTAACCGTTAGCCTCAAAAAAATGCGTTAGCCTCTGGATTTCTCATTTCTTCCATTCATTTCTGATTGTTCGTTTTGTTTTTTTTTGAATTTCCAGCGGTTCCAAAATCAGATTTTCCCATGATATCCCCAGTTTTATCTTTGGAATGACATTTGGAATTTTAGCTGAGGACACCGATGAATTTTAGGGTCGATTTTACACCAACAAAAATCTTTGATATCTTTTGATTCCGGGAAATCACACATTGGCCCCGGTTCATTGTGTATTTCAAGATATTTTAACATCATATGGCTTCTATATAATTTATATGTATTGATGGATATGATAAATCATGATGAACATTCTATATCATATATAATAAATCCATAGATATATTATTTATATGGACCTGGATCAAACAGATTTCAACACTTCCGATGGCAACATCTTCCGGCACAGGCTGCACGGCAGCGCCGAGCGGAGGAGGAAGAGTTAAGCCGCCGAGTGGAAGAGGTGGGTTGAATCAGCTACTTCGGGGGTAGAGTTTTGAGTCACATATATGCATTCGTATATTTATATATTCTATATATATAATATATATATATTATACATTCATGTATATATATATATATATACAGTATATACATAGAATAACATATACATAGATAGGTATATGTAGTAATATCTACACGTAGACTCTTCTTTGTTTCAGGATGGGAACTGATATGTTTCATGTGGATTCACTCAATGTCACCATCAATGGGTTGGATTCGGGTCCCTTGATAACCATGTGGATTCACTCAATGTCACCATCAATGGGTTGGATTCGGGTCCCTTGGAACCACGGAGCCGAATACCAGAAAAGGCCGGTTTCTCTGAAAAAAGGCTGCTCCAAAATTCGAGATCAGCGGCGTAGACAGTCTCCCGATAAAAAACCCAACTTTATGAGTACCTTCTGGTTATTTAAAGTAGCCATGGTATAGATGGCCCATTTATAGATGATTTACCTATAAAAAATGATGATTTTCCATGGCTATGTTAGTCATAACCAGATGGTATCCAGCCGCGTTATCCACCCATGGTTTTTTGGCCCCAATGAACCATGATCCATCGATGAAATCCACCTTTTTTCACAGTCAATTCAATGGCATCAGCATCAAATCTGGTGGTGTCTTCATTATGAACCACTATGAATCATTATTCACCATGATAGTATACAGATGTATACAGTATACTACTATTACAGTAATCATTATTAACCATGATAGTATACTAGATTTCCCCCCATGGATTCATTATTGGTCCATCCCCTTCGCCATCTTCGTGGTTCGCCGCCATCTTGGCCATCTGGGATCCCAGGCCGAAGCCGACAAGAAGCGGAGAAAGGAGGAAGAGCACCGGCTGCAGCTACAGCGCGAGGTGCGCGGGCTGCAACGCGCGACACGCAATGCGTGACACGCAACGGGGAAGGGGGGGTCAAAAAGCCAACGTTCATGAAACCCCATTGGAAATGGTTGATTTTGCTGTGATAGATATGATCTTATGGTTGATGTAGCCAATATATCCCAATATATGTATAAAAAAATATTATATGATCATATACCATCTGTTTTTGCGACTGATTTTATGGTTACTCCAGATGAGGACTTGCGACATGATAAGCTATTCAGTTGGTGGTAATCTGTACTGTCATCATCATCCTCGTCATCATCGTCATTAGTAATGATTATCATGATCATCAATCAACCACTCATCCTATTAACCAATCAACAATCAACCAATGAATAGATGAAACAATGAAACAATGGATAAATCAACCACTTGTACAGTTGATTTAACCAATGAAACAATGGATAAATCAACATCAATCAACCAAAAAAGCTAGATACTTCCGGTGATCTGCCAGGAAGAGGCACGAAAGGCTCGGCTGGAAGAAGCCCGTTTGCTGGAGTCCATGAAGTTTCTTGACCGCCAACAAGCGCGGTTGGGGCGCCGGCTGTGACAACAGTCGGATGATTTGGCTGTAGCTATGCGTAGCATCTATGCATAGATGTACTGTTCTGTACATAGCTGTATCTCTACTATCTGTAGCTGTATTTGTATCGGTATCTACATATCTGTATCTGTATCTACAATTAAGTGTGTATATATATATATGTCCATGTATGATGTCATTCCTGGAGGGATAGACTCCTGGTTGATTAGGAGGGTTACACCCCAAAGCCATTGGGCCCCTCTTTTTTTTAACCTTGCGTCTCTTTTTTCTAACCTTACCTCTTTTTTTTAACCTTGAAAAACTCTTTTTTCTAACCTTGCCTCGCTACCTCTCTTTTCTGACCTTGCCACCTCTTTTTTCTAACCTTGCACCTCTTTTTTCAAACCTTGAGCCTCTTTTTCCTAACCTTGCACCTCTTTTTTCTAGCCTTGCTGACCTCTTTTTTCTAACCTTGCACCTCTTTTTTCAAACCTTGAGCCTCTTTTTCCTAACCTTGCACCTCTTTTTTCTAGCCTTGCTGACCTCTTTTTTCTAACCTTGCACCTCTTTTTTCAAACCTTGAGCCTCTTTTTCCTAACCTTGCACCTCTTTTTTCTAGCCTTGCTGACCTCTTTTTTCTGGCCTTGCACCTCTTTTTTCAAACCTAGTTTGCAATTTTGCCCAGCAGTCCCAGCTCCAGGGATTGAGCCCAGAGCAAGGTTAAAGTGCGGCTGGCTTGGAGATTCTGGAAGGTTCTAGACGGTTCCGGGAGATTTGGGAGATTTGGGAGATTTGGGAGATTCTGTGCCTATTTGTCCTATCTGCTCTATCTATCCTAGTTTTCCTGTTTGTCCGATCTGTCGTGTTTGTCTTATCTGTCCAATTTATCCTCACCTATCCAACCCTGACCTATATCTATCCAATGGTTACATCCAACGTCCGCGACCATTTCCTCGACCTTTCCTATCCTAGCCTATCCTATCTTATCACATCCTTTCCAATGCAATTCTATCCTATCCATCCTATTCAGTCCTGTCCCATTCTGTCCTATCGCATCCCATCCCGGCTACCTATCTACCTATCTACCTATCTACCTATCTACCTATCTACCTATCTACCTACCTATGTATCCATCAATCAACCAATCGATCGATCGATCGATCTATCTATCTATCTAGCTATCTATCTATCTATCCTATCTATCCTATCTATCCTATCTATCCTATCTATCCTATCTTATCTATCCTATCTATCCTATCTATCCATCCTATCTATCCTATCTATCCTATCTATCCTATCTATCCTATCTATCCTATCTATCCTATCTATCCTATCTATCCTATCTATCCTATCTATCCTATCTATCCTCTGAATCCTCTCTATCCTATCTATCCTATCTATCCTATCTATCCTATCTATCCTATCTATCCTATCTATCCTATCTATCCTATCTATCCTATCTACCCTATCTACCCTATCTATCCTATCTATCCTATCTATCCTATCTATCCTATCTATCCTATCTATCCTATCTATCCTATCTATCCTATCTATCCTATCTATCCTATCTATCCTATCTATCCTATCTATCCTATCTATCCTATCGATCCTATCTATCCTATCTATCCTATCTATCCTATCTATCCTATCTATCCTATCTATCCTATCTATCCTATCTATCCTATCTATCCTATCTATCCTATCTATCCTATCTATCCTATCTATCTATCTTATCCTATCTTATCCTATCTTATCCTATCTTATCCTATCTTATCCTATCTATCTATCTATCTATCTCTCTATCTCTCTATCTCTCTATCTCTCTATCTCTCTATCTCTCTATCTCTCTATCTCTCTACCTCTCTACCTCTCTATCTCTCTATCTCTCTATCTCTCTATCTCTCTATCTCTCTATCTCTCTATCTCTCTATCTCTCTATCTATCTTTCTATCTATCTATCTATCTATCTATCTATCTATCCTATCTATCCTATCTATCCTATCTATCCTATCTATCCTATCTATCCTATCTATCCTATCTATCCTATCTATCCTATCTATCCTATCTATCCTATCTATCCTATTATCTATCCTATCATCTATCCTATCATCTATCCTATCATCTATCCTATCATCTATCCTATCATCTATCCTATCATCTATCCTATCATCTATCCTAT